AATTTTAATATGGTCTGTACGTAGGTTGCGAGATCACTTGCGTTACGAAATGGGAGACGAGAACTACGGAGTAAAGATGCCGCAATTCGTATTCTCAAAAATACTGGTTCATAGGTGCATTTGCGGAAATAATTTTTTTCAACGTTCTCATAGTCGCGCTTTTCAGGCGCGCGTTCCTTCCAGACCCTTTCGCCCGCGCGGCCGCCGCCTCCTCCTCTCCGTCCGCGCAGCGTCGGGGATTATTCCCGCGCATAATTGCGCTCGGCGCGAACGTGCCGCCCGCGCGCCAATCACTCGCCATTCAGCGCCGCCGGCGCCTCCGCCGCTTTGTGAGCGCGCGTTCGTTGCGCGCGTCCCCCGCCCCCACCCCTCGTTGCGCCCAGCGAGCCGCCCACGCTGCCGGCGACGCCGCGCTACTCCACATCCGCCCGGGACCGATCGCCCTGGACCGATCGCCCTGGACCGATCGCCCTGGACCGAACGCCCTGAACCAAACGCCCTGAACCAAACGCCCTGAACCAAACGCCCTGAACCAAACGCCCTGAACCAAACGCCCTGAACCAAACGCCCGAGACGGATCGCCCGGGACGGATCGCCCGGGATCATCGCCCAGGACCGATCGCCAGGGATACTGCGACCGCCCTGAAAATTTTTCGCCACCTCGCTTCCGTCGTCTCCAGTCCTCCCATTCCCCCCACCTGCGTTCTACCATCCTTTCGTCCCTTAGGCCATTCGTCCTCCCGTCCTCCCTCCCTTCTGCTCTCCTCCCATCCTTCGGTCCTCTCGTCGCCCTGTTATATGGCTCTTTCCTTCACACTCTCTTCCTTTAATCACTCTCGCGACTTCCCGCCCTTCGTCCTTTCACTCTCTTTTCCTCCCTTCCAGCCACCCTTCTGCCGACACGCCCTCTCGAACTTCCGCGCCCGCCCATTTCGCCTCTGCCTCCAGCCCGTTGCAACGCTTTCGGTATTCTCTACGCCTTTGGTGACCCTGTAACCTTTTCGCTCCTGCGTCGCCCAGAGCCAGGTGATTATCCGCGCGGTTTACATAGCCTCTTACGTTTTCTGATAGGAGTAGCACATGTTCACACCTGTGATATCTCGACAGTCACATTCACTCTGGCTGTCAATAGCATTATTCTCCTTTAAATTTAAAGCAATCACAATGGAAACACTACTTCAAATGGGGTGTGTTCAATATGGTATAGGTTATGAATAAATTGAGTAAAGGTGAGAAAGTTTTGCTGAGATGGGGGTCATGGTGGGTGTAACCCCTGGTCCTGCAATTCTCACCACCTCCCTCTTTTACCTTAGCTTTTCCTTAATTCGAGGTGCTCACACGATCTTTTACCCGAGAACATCGCCACCGTCTCCTCCAATATTTGCGCCTTCTCGCTAACTATCCGCGCTCTGATTTCGCGTGTTATTTGCAGGAATCCCTTGATTTTTACAACTTCTCTTCTCAATCCATCGCTCTGATAGTCGAAGTTCAATTCGTGTCTTGTCAACAGTGAGAATAAGATTTATTTATTCCATAGAATAAAGTCCTAGTAAATTCTGTTAACAAATTCACTGCAAGAGAATATTTCAACGTTTGAATAATATCTCTGCTTCAGAATTTTTGATGCACGTTTGTACCTCACAGCTGTCAAAAAAATTTTTTTGGAGCAATTTCTAGCCGTTCTCTTATGGGTAAAGAAAACATTTGCAAAGATATATTTTGTCGCTTCTCCCTCTAAAGCATTAGCAACGACCAGAGCTCGCTGTGTAAATACATACTTGGTTAGGTGCGAGACTGTTTCGGTAAATTAGGATTCATAATATTAAGAAAATAATCATAATGATTATTTATTTAATAATGATGATTCCCGGTTCTCCAGTTAACGTTATTCAGTTGTGTCTTTACACGCCCCAAAGCATCGTGGACGATTTTCCATCCAACAGTGGTATAAGATTAATAAAACGTTAATAGGAAATAAGAAAAAGTATCTTGCAGAAATTTAAAAAAAAATCAATGTAGTTTTTGCGAATCTTTAGTTTCTAAATTAATTTATTTGATTTTGAAGAGTACTTTCCCATGGGGAAAATACATATTTCAATGCTACACTTTTACATGGTATATGTATTCTCGATACACATTTTATTATCCACAAATCTGCATTTGCGATGAAATAAAGAGGCAAATTGATTTTCTGTTTTTATCGGTATTAGCTTCTGTATCGACGTTTCGATCCACTTATTGTGAATATTCTGGCAGTAATTGGAAATTGAATGCACTTGCCATGTAAACATGACTCCAATCATTGAAGAAAATTGATGTCTGAATTGACTCAATGATTAATTGATTGAAGCGATGCTCCTGCTCATATGTCATAGTGAGGACCGTTAATTGGAAAAATGTGTTTCATTCGTTAGTTCGATTCCTGTTTAGAAATACTTTGGCTTGATAGAGAAGCATGATCTCTCTCCTGTGTTAGGGTAAATGCACAATGAGAAGAGTAATGTTCAATTACATATTTCAGCCATTATTAATACTTCAAAAATGTATTGATGAATCTTATCATTAAAGCAGTGGCGACTTAAATTGTTGGTGATTCACAAAATTGAGCGAGAGTTGTTCCTAAAAACGTGGTGGAGAGACTCAGTTTTCTGCCTAAAAGACACTGTGGTTCTTCACTTTGCTGCATATTTTTTAAAGCAAGTGAGGAACTTTTGGAATGAAAGTGAAATCGTTCTCGCCTCCCTATTCCTTGGTCCAATGATTTGCAAGCTATTTCTGATTACTGTGGCTACACCGCACGAGATGGAAAATGAAGCTCCAATTGCGAAAAAACCAAGCACAACCATTTATAAAGGTTTTCCAAAAAAGTAGAGTGCACACGGCTTAATAAAATATTCTCATTTAACATACAATTTATCAAATATTTTAAAGAAAAGAATCTTCATAAATGCTGCTGTATTTTATCACAGTATGAATGTTCAACAGTTCTTTTACATGCCAAGAATATCAAACTAGTTAATGCAACACGTTAGTGGGAAATATTTAATGGTGGGCGGCCTATTTCTTCGATGCTGTCGTATTACGTCAGGTGCGTCGTGAGAAGTAACCCACTGATTAAAAGAATTCACTAGTTATGCACAGTAGAGAATAGAATGAATAAAAAATAAAATATCTGAACTTTTCAGTCAAAATCGAAGCTGATTCACGGGTTTTGGATTTTCCCTGGTTCCTCGATATCTAACAAACCCAAACACACCATTCTCAACGCCAGAGGTTTACAGGTTATCTTTCAGTTTGTACGTGCAGTTGAAGTTGGTATTGTGTATTGTGTGAATTACGAAGGACCAATCTGGTGGAACGAGAGGCGGGGCCTTGGGAGTACCACAAGAGGCCTGCCGCGTGGTTCGCGCTGGGGCCACGTCGACCACCCTCCTCGCGCCTGGTGGGGAGGGGGCGGTCTGACCGCTCCAGCCAGATGACCAGGACTAGCCTTGTGGTAAGGCAGCGGAGAGGCGAAAGGGGACGGGCAGCTGAGTGACCGCGGGGAGCGGCGAGGGCGGCTGCTGGGGATAGACCGGAGGTGGGGCGTGTCCCAGCCCGGGGCGCCCCGAGGCTGTCACGCGCAGTTAGCGCTGTCGCCAAATCGCGCGACGGATCGTGACGTCACCGCTGCCTTCGCCCCCGCCTCCGCCTCGCCCCCGCCTGCGCTGCGGGTCGTAAAACTCCCTTCGAGCGCGGGACACGCGCGCCGCCGCCGCCGCCGCCGCCGCCGCCCACGCGGCCGGCAGCTGAAAAGACTTCCCGAGAAACGTCGACGGAGCAAGTTAAACGGCGAGCGCTAGGAAGGAAAGCGACGTCGCGCCGGTTTTTTGCTTTTACAGGAGAGAAATGCACGAATTCAATATCATTCTTCGGAGAATTCCCCTTACTTGGGACATGTTTGAGAGTATATTTTATGTAATTAAGACACACAAAAAAAGTGTAAGAGATGAAAAAATCTCTAGGGCTCGGCGATTTCATGGGTAAATGAACTCGTGCAATTAACGCATCTCAATTCCCAAAAAGGTAAGATACGTCTTTGCAATGATAACATTCGTGTACGTAATACTCTCTCATTAAAATGGTCTTTTAATTAATTAGAGATCTATTCGACCATCGATTAAGAAAACTACTATTTATTGGCGAGTTAATAATCATGCAAAGATGTACATTCTTTTTCAATAAGCTCCTACAACCACTTAACAATCTGCACTTAAAAGCAACAGAAACAAATAAAGAGCTCTATTGTTCTTCAGATTTACGCGTAATTTCAATAATCTTCTGTATTTGTGTTTAAGCGACAAGCTGATACGGCGAAGCAGACTATATAAATTTAATACCTATGGTAAATAATGTAAAATTAAATATCTTCGATCTGTTTTTGATCAAATAAACCGAGATAATAAGAATTCTTGAAAGCGAAACCACAGCATCCATATTCTATTATATAATTGCTGCCATTTTTTGTGTGTTTTATATTCTTCTCAAATACCATATTTCATTTTTTTCTCCTTTATAACTCATATCACATTAAATATGTCTGTAGCTCTTTTAGAACTACAGGGTGAACATTCTCATGGTTACAATATCAACTGTTAATATTATTTTATGTATTCTAGATTACTAAAATGTCTTGAAGGACGTGCGTCAGAGGTTAGGAAATTAGAAGATTCCGTCCTTAGGTAACACAGTTTTCCGCATTAGAAAGAGAACGAAGCCATCACTTGTTAAATTTCCACTTGCCAAACTAATATTAAATGAACGTTCGTAGAACATACGGAGTTGGCTGGTTTAGTGGTTCAAGCGGCAAGCTAGTGTTCGACATAACACACACGCATTTGCAAGTACAGAGCCCAATGGGCTATCAAGTCGCTTTTAAAGTCTCAACACTAAGAAGCAAACAAGTGAACGAATGAAGTGAAAAATAGGAACGAATGAAATGATCGCGTCCCGTTGCGCTCACCTTGTAGGTGGCCAGGTCCTCTACCACGCACGCCAGCGACGCCTCGCGGCCCACGGGGTACGTCACGTTGCTGATTGGCTCCCCGAACTTGGGCACATCTGCAACAGAACAACGAAACGTAGTTCAAAGGAGATATACACAACTAACCATTTTAATAAATTGCTTTTTTGACATGAACTCTCCAGTCGCCGAGCCGATGTGGGATAACCAGGAGCTAAAGCAAGTCGAATTCTGTTAGCAGCTGCAAATAAAATAAGTCGTCATAAGGAAGTAAACTTTTCATGTTGAAGAGATCGTAAACGTTTGTTTTTCGAATCTGAGTATTTCTACTGCCCAACACTTTTTCTCATTTTCACGATAAGTATCGTTGTTACTCGCGAATTCATATATAAATTTTTTGCCGTGTAGAATTAGCTGTTACTGATACGAAAATATTGAGAATTTTTTAAAATTACGTTTTACATAATTTGCGTGCGGCATCCATGTGAGGGTCCTTAATATCGATAGAGTCGTGAATTTTTTCCAAAAGTATAAGTAATTACATGTTTGATTAGAAACTTAGGTTAGAAGTTTCAAAATATTTTGTCGTCGCCTTAGGTGTTTACATTATTGAAATTTCGTAAATCTAGGTAATCGTAGATAATAGGTATAGATATATGTAAAAATATAAACGTTTGAAGTTACAAAATTTGACCTTCAAGGTGCAAGTTCGATGAAAAAATTTAAAGCTGTTTCGATTGAGTGGAGTGTACGCATCCGGTACCTACGACTCTTTAATTTCCGTGTTGCTACAAGGTGCCACTTCGAATCAGCTGTAAGAATAATTTGAAGACAACATTTGTGTTAACCATTATTGATTTGCCCTTACTTAATCAATAGGATGTACCTGAGATGAAGCGGTGTTAAAATAACCTATTGTTTATACTGTCAATTCCTGGTCAGCCGTGATAGTGTGTGAGAAAGCGTATCCAGTCAAAACAAGATACCTTTAAGTTATGGAAATTACTAATCTTTTCTTATAGTCCAGGTAAGGAATATATAGTAGAGAACATGGAAGGGGTTTCTTTACAGCGAAAATGTGTTGGGAATAGTCAGGGGGTAAGCATACTAAAAGACCTGGGTTCTAGCCCTGGCACTATGAGGTGGGAGGAAGGGACAAAGGTCTCAGTTTTCATCTCTTCCCCTCATATACAGTTAAAGGCGAGTCATATAAGAAGAAACACTGTACTTTTATGACGCAAGACACTGAGATGGTGGTAAAAGGCAAACATTATCGCTGTTCTATGACAAAAAACCCAAAAACTCAAATAATCAATTGCTCCGATAGAAAAAAACAGAAAAATAATAAAAAAGCCCTCTGAATGATATATTTGATTGCCATTCTGCCTAATTGCAGGTTTTGATGCGGATATTATGCAGCGTGTTTTTAAATGAGTACAAAATAAATTATGTTCCGAGAAATGTAGAAAGATGCAATTGAAACAATGTAATTGCTTTTTAGTATCCACTAATTAGCAGAATAAATGAATGTGATTGAGTGCCTACATGGATCAATAAACCATGGAAAATATAGATTTCTAATTGAAATATGAAAACGATTAATAAGAAATTTACAAATGTACATTGTTCATCTACTTTGACAATTTTTAAAAGCAAGAGCATTCATAGATATCCATGAAATGATACGTGAACAAAATGTATAATGTTGCAACAGTGATTTATAATGTTGCAACAGATTTTATGAAATTTAATTCCACTTTCTGCATAAATATTAATAAAGCTGATCAATATTTAAAAAATATTCAGTTTCTTAACCCATTTCTGTCCAGAACATTTTTCAGAGTAATTTCTTTCAAAACTTGATATAAGGCTTCTTTTAGTATTATGATAACACGTTGTTAGAAAATAACTGGAAAGTGTATTATAAAATTCTTCCTCCAGTTTTTGTAACTGTTAGCACAATACATTTATTTATCTAATGAAATATTGTCGTCGGTACTTAATCCTTTAAGTGACATAAATGCGCCAGATATTCGTCAAAAAAATCTGAAACACAAGAATTACCAAATGTAAGGCGAGATATGTACCTTATTTGCCCACTGGGTCGATAATGACACACCAAGTTTTTATTCAAGCACATCTGGACAATTACATAGCCGTACAAACAAATGTGTTCATGTCTGGGGATGAGACCATGTTTTCTCTTAAAGAAAGTAACTTCTTCCAGAAGTTGAATGGACTTCATATTCGGTTTCAGCGACCCCAAAAACAGAGGTAACAGGGTCTGACTTCTCCGTTAGAAATATTTCACATTTTATATTTTTTGAGGTTATGTCACAAACCTGATGTGATGGAGTAAAATGGACACCAGATTTGGATTTAACGACTTATCAGAGATACAAAAATAGTTCAACATAATTCAAAATACTTACATTTTAGGATCGAAGCAATACAAAATAAATGCCTCCAAGTCTCTTACCTCTCACGAACTAAAATATTATTTCGTAGACGGGGCATAATCTGACAATGACGCCACACATGTGCGCGGAAAGATTATCAGAAATGAGGTTAAGATTATTGAGCGAGTGTTAACATGCAGGAAATATCCAAGAATGCATATCAATGAGATGTCTTGTATCATGAAAGATAACTATTTTACATAAATAAAAAAGCATGAACAAATTTTGTACGTGGGTCGTTAAAGACTCAGTGGGCATATAGGATCAAAATACATTTCCGCAGGTTGAAACTGAGGTCATAATTTAGCGTGTTAGTTACGTAAACCAGGATCAATAGCGGACTTGGTATTTTGTGATGAGTTTATTTACTAAATTGGGCAAAAAAATTCAAAGGAATAACGTCTGCACAAAATAGACATTTGCTCTTACAGCATTATGAACAGAGCTTCACAACCCATGTGAACTAATGGTGTGGGAAACAGCCTGCCAGCTGTGTTCGCAGTGAAGCCAGCCTCACAGCTACACGGCAGTCTCGTGTTCGCTGTCGTCCCACTGCACCGGGTCGAGGACGGAACGCCGACTGCAAAGCAGGGAGTTCAATTGGTGCACTGAGGGAGAGAGCGCGACCCCATGGTTACGGGGCATCAGAACGAGTCGACAAAGCTGAAACTTACTTCACTAGCAGAACGGCGGAAAAGGTGTGATAACCTGACACATTGAACGAGATGAGCCCGGAAAAGGGAAAAGTAAATATAGACAAATGCAGGACGTTTTAGAAACTGCAGACATGTAAAAATAAGGGGTGAAAAGAAGAGCGAAATTAAAGGATTTAGAACTTAGTGCATTGATTCACCTCGGTGCTAATAAGCACAGAAAAACACATACACCACAGTCTCTTCGATGAAACTACATTGACAACGTGGTACGTGGTAGTCACAGGAGGAGGCCACCAGGAAAGAATTCGAGGCGTGTTAGAATGAAAGGTGACACGCGTTACAAACGGACAGCCAGTCCAGCACAGGGCACGAGAAAAGCGGGAAGACAGCGCGCCGGCAGGAAAGCACATTCAGGACGTGACAGCGCGCGGGCGAGCGGGGGCGGCTGGGCGCGGGGCGGGGGGCTCGCCAGGGCGGCGTGTCGGGAGGTTAATTAAAGGCGACGCGAACGCGGCCGGCGCCGCTAAGTCGGGCTGTTGTCTCGGAGCGTGAGCGTGGGCGGGGGACCGAAGAGGACGAAGCTGGCTGCAGGTGTGCCGCGCTGCTCCGCTGTCAGCCGCTAATTGGCGGAACGCGGCGTGTCCGGCGGCGCTAAGCCCCACCGCCGTCGACACCGCCGCCCCGCCGCACGAACAACACCGGCCGCGCGCCCTGAGGCAGTTGGCGCGAGGGCGTTCTGGGCGACCCGAATATGCAGCTCGGAACTGCACGCCGTTACGTAGTTTCGTGGGGTGTGACATGTGATTCTTGGCGAGCGAAATCTGCATTTCTTGCATGCAATTTCAGGTTTCTATGGAGTGAATTTGGCGTTTTCATAGGATGAATGATTTGGAGTGCTAGGCGATCGAAAGACGCATTTCAAAATTGTGCAGGAAGTGACATGGTTATAGGGAATTTATTTTGTGTTTTCAAGGGGTGAGTGATATGGAATACTGGCCGATGGAAATCTTCGTTCCGCACTGCTCGGCGCTGTGTGACTTCGTGGGATGGATGTTAATATTTCATGTAACGAGTAGCACACCTTGCTTAAATTTGAAGAATGCAAGCTACTTATTTAGAAAACCTCTAGCATCTACATAAGAGAGTCTTTGCAAAATGTTAGTTTTGTTGAAAATAATTAGCTTGATGATATTGTTTTTACTACTAAACAAAGATTATAAAATGTTGGTAATGAAAATTCCATATTTACTATACATAAAGAAGTATATTCTTTGTGGGCATGGATAACAAAGTTACTGATATCATTATTCAATTAACAGAGATACTTTTTAAGCATAATATTTTTTTTTCTGTTTAGTGGTTCCTGATGATGTTTGCTGCCTGATCGAATGAACTTAAGATATTGAACTATACGTTTCCAACAGGTAATACAAATTCTGTATAATACAAATTAATTTGAAACACAAACAAAATCTAGAAACTCAGCATATAATTCAGTAGAATATTCGTAATGGACTCTGTCCTAATCACATTTCTGTAAATAACACAGCTCTACAAAATGAAACTTTTTGCAATCAACAGAAATATAAGCATATGAGCTGAGCTAGTTTTCAACATAGATCACTATTTTGCATTCAGATTTGCGCCATCGCTCACCATTATTCTACACTGGCGAATCCATTCATTACACTAAAAATCATCCACATTCCATTTACTTATTGTGTTCGTATAACAGTTTCAGAAATGTGATGAACTCCCACGTCTCTTGTGAACTGCTTCAGGATCTTCTGCGTCCAACATCCAGGGGAAATCTACCGCCATGGAGTCATCCCAGAAGCCTTGGTAGCGGTGCTCCTTTGTTCCTACATTTTAGTACAAACGCTCCCTTGTCCATCACTCACGTCACCGAGGTTATCGTGGAAGAAATCTAAGTGACAGTGTAGAATCTGTAACTTATGAGACGTTATACAGTCCAGTTTTTGA